CCCGCTCCGCTACGACGTGAAAACAAGAGGGCGGCAATCACGGATAGTGATGCACTGCATTGAAACTATGAAAATTCACATAAAATCAGGAATATGGTTAAATGACTAATTGATGGCATATAATTAAAGAATAATGTCTTATTTAACAATCTGTACTGCTCCCGGACGATGATTCACACAAAGTTCGCTTAAATTAATCTCTCAATCCATAGGGGGTTCGGATGTAAACAAACAACAGTTGATCGAACGACACGCTCTCAGTACAAGCACACTCGACATTGCACATTCATTACAATATATACAGCGCCCCCTAGGAGAAGGGGCGCAACTCTTAACGTCACGCTAATTTTCCATCAGTCTCAACAGTCCAAAAAAAAGGTATAGTGCCCGTCTCCAGGTATAGTTTCCGTCGTCAAGGGCGGATGCTAACTATAACAAGTAGAACAAGGGTAGTTATCCAATAGCTATCCTAGAAATTATCATGTCATGTACTAAATACATATATAGGATACAGACACCTAACTATAGACATATATATATGATACAGACACATAACTATAGACATATATATGATACAGACACCTAACTAAAGACATATATCAGATACAGACACCTAACTATAGACATGTATATGATACAGACACCTAACTATAGACATATATATGATACAGACACCTAACTATAAACATGTATATGATACAGACACCTAACTATAGACATATATATGATACAGACACCTAACTAAAGACATATATCAGATACAGACACCTAACTGTAGACATATATATGATACAGACACCTAACTAAAGACATATATCAGATACAGACACCTAACTAAAGACATATATCAGATACAGACACCTAACTATAGACATATATATGATAAAAACACCTAACTAAAGACATATATCAGATTCAGACACCTAACTATAGACATATATGATACCGACACCTAACTATAGACATATATATGATACAGACACCCAACTATAGACATATATATGATACAGACACCTAACTAAAGACATGTATATAGTACAGACAGATTACTATAGACATGTATCAGAAACAGACACCTAACTAAAGACATGTATATAGTACAGACACCTAACTATAGACACATATATGATACAGACACCCAACTATAGACATATATATGATACAGTCACCTAACTATAGACATATATCAGATACAGACCCCTAACTATAGACATGTATCAGATACAGACACCTAACTATAGTCATTTATTAGATACAGACACCTAACTATATACATATATATGATACAGACCCCCAACTATAGACATATATATGATGCAGACACCTAACTATAGACTAATATATGAGACAGACACCTAACTATAGACTAATATATGAGACAGACACCTAACTATAGACTAATATATGAGACAGACACCTAACTATAGATATATATATGATACAGACACCTAACAATAGACATATATATGATACAGAAACCTAACTAAAGACATATATCAGATTCAGACACCTAACTATAGACATTTATTAGATACAGACACCTAACTATAGCCATATATATGATACAGACACTTAACTATAGACATATATATGATACAGACACCTAACTATAGACATATATATGATACAGACACCTAACTAAAGACTAATATATGATACAGACACCTAACTATAGACATATATATGATACAGACACCTAACTATAGACATGTATAAGATACAGACACCTAACTATAGACATGTATATGATACAGACACCTAACTATAGACATATATATGATACAGACACCTAACTATAGACATATATATGATACAGACACCTAACTATAGACATATATATGATACAGACACCTAACTATAGACATATATATGATACAGACACCTAACTATAGACATATATATGATACAGACACCTAACTATAGACATATATATGATACAGACACCTAACTATAGACATATATATGATACAGACACCTAACTATAGACATATATATGATACAGACACCTAACTATAGACATATATATGATACAGACACCTAACTATAGACATATATATGATACAGACACCTAACTATAGACATATATATGATACAGACACCTAACTATAGACATATATATGATACAGACACCTAACTATAGACATATATATGATACAGACACCTAACTATAGACATATATATGATACAGACACCTAACTATAGACATATATATGATACAGACACCTAACTATAGACATATATATGATACAGACACCTAACTATAGACATATATATGATACAGACACCTAACTATAGACATATATATGATACAGACACCTAACTATAGACATATATATGATACAGACACCTAACTATAGACATATATATGATACAGACACCTAACTATAGACATATATATGATACAGACACCTAACTATAGACATATATATGATACAGACACTTAACTATAGACATATATATGATACAGACACCTAACTATAGACATATATAAGATACAGACACCTAACTATAGACATATATCAGATACAGACACCTAACTATAGACATATATATGATACAGACACCTAACTATAGACATGTATATGATACAGACACCTAACTATCGACACATATATGATACAGACACCTAATTATAGACATGTATAAGGTACAGACAGGTAAATATATACATGTATCAGATACAGACACCTAACTATAAACATGTATATGATACAGACAGATAACTATGGACATATATCAGATACAGACAGGTAAATATATACATGTATCAGATACAGACACCTAACTATAGACATGTATAAAGTACAGACACAGATAACTATAGACATATATAAGGTACAGACAGATAGTTATATATATGTATAAGGTACAGACAGATAACTATATACATGTATTAGGTAGACAGGTAACTATAGACATGTATAAGGTATAGACAGGCAACTATATACACGTAACAGGTACAGACAGATTACTATATACATGTATAAGGTACAGATAGGTAAATATAGACATGGATTACGTACAGACAGGTAACTATAGACATGTTTAGGTACAGACAGATAATTGTATACATGTAAAAGGTAACGACAGGTAAATATATACATGTATAAGGTACAGACAGCTAGCTATAGACATGTTAAGGGTACAGAGAGATAACTATATACATGTATAAGGTACAGACAGGTAAATATATACATGTATAAGGTACAGACAGATAACTGTATACATGTAAAAGATAAAGACAGGTAACTATAGACATGTTTAGGGTACAGACAGATAACTATAGACATGTTTAGGGTACAGACAGGTAAATATATACATGTATAAGGTACAGACAGGTAAATATATACATGTGTAAGGTACAGACAGGTAACTATATACATGGTTAATGTACAGACAGGTAACTATATACATGGTTTATTTGTTGCAAGACTTGTATAAGGTACAGATAGGTTGCTATATACATATTCTTGTAGAAGGTACAGGCAAGTATATGAATATCAAGGAAGCGTAAAGACTGGTAAGTATTGATCGGCATCAGAAGCTTATCATATACACGAAAAATGTTTATACAGGCTACTATAGTCATGTACAGACGAGTATTTACAGACAAGTATAAGATACATATTAGGTGTAAATATATGGTCACGTTAGGTCAAAAAAAATACTCTAATACATGTAAATTTATATAGGCCTAATTAGGGTATCACGCCATGCTTTAATGGGTTATTTCATTAGATTCCTCAAAACTAAGAAAGGCTACATCGCAAATAGATTTGTGATTACCACCAACATGTATATACGTTTATAAACATAGATTAAGTAGCATTATGTCAATGCATTGCAAGGTTATCGTTTTTAGCGTTATAATAAACATTTGCATTTATATTTCAATAATTATATAAATTGCGAATCCACGAGAATATTGTTATGCAGTAACTGTAGTTAATTATGTTTGGAAAAAAGCTTTGAAAACCTATATGCATGCGTTATATATACACATTGGTAATTATCATTCGGTGAACTGTGTATATTTTCTTGAACACGTAATACAGTGGTTCCATGAATCGATTCTCAAATAAACAGAAATCTAAATGACGTCGATGCCTTGATGATAATTACCAAGAACTCTATGTACATGAATAAGTAGAATAGGCAGTCGTGTGTATTTCTCTTCTACTAAGAGTTGTCGTTTGGTTAAGGTACTTGGTAATGTAGACACTTACCGGGACAATAACCAATCAGGATGATAAAAAGAAATATCGCAAAGTTATTTAAAAGACCAACTGGAAATTTCCGATAGACTGATAACCGAAAGAGGGAAAATCTCAACAAAAATGAAACAAATTAATGAAAGAACACTTCATTATAAACGTTTATCAAGTACAGACAGGCAATAACAGTCACGTGTATGGTACCTATTGATAACTAAAGCCATGACGATAAAAACAAAAGCTGCAGCACCCTCTGTACATTTGTGAAAAATCAGTTAATATCAGTCATAATCTAATGTTCAAAAATGGTCTGTCCCGCTAAACAAATTACTATGTGTTTCATCTTTGATTGTTCATCAACATCCTTATCTATAACTAACGTCTTGACTAATGCAACATATTTCCAAGTGAAAAGATTAATCACATACAAAACATGACGAAAACAAATCTACATCTAAAATACTTCAATAGTCAACTTTACTGTCTATTTTCGGTGCTAAATTGGCGTTTATGCTTATCTCGATATTTTTGTATCCTTTTTCCTTTGTTGTACATTTATTCAATTTTTTCCCTGGTATGATCTTTCCAAATTGCCAAGCAATGTTTAAACAATATTGTGTGAAGTTGACGTAATATTATATGCGAATGTAATGCCAATATATAATCATTAGTTGCCTTATATGGTTAGTGGTATGTCCACTATTCTGATTGGATAATGATCTTGGAAACCAGGAAGTTTTAAACATATATATATAGATATATGCTGGCAGTGTTTGCTATAAAAAAGGGTGTTCAACGACAAAATACAACAGTCTAAAGATGGAACGGAATAACATAAGAATGCTCTGCCTTCTAGCTGCATTGATGTTCGTGTTAATCACGGGTACGTACCACTGCTTATTCATCTCTGTTTAATCGATCAAGTGCTTAACAGAAACATTTTTTTACTAAAACTTTATCTATTTTGTGACATTATCTTTGTATATTTACTTGTAGCATTTCCAAATTCAAAATTGTTTTTTTCCTTTGTGCTATGTGTTGTCGAAAGTCCAGAAAAACCTTCAATTACGTTATCTGCAAGTAACCTATGTTATTTCGAAGATTGAAGTTCTGAACAACTTGGATTATGTACATGAAAGGTTTAAATTATATGCGTTTCTTCTCCTTTTCTCTGCTATAGTCATATCCGTAGTTGCTGTTTGTTGTAATAATGCATTGTTCAATCATTAAAGTAGGTCGCGACAGGAAACAGTCGTTCAAGCAAAACTATAATAAATATATGTTGATTTGCAAGAAAAACTGAAGTGTGCTGGTGTTTGAATTGTATAAAAAATAGACATAAAATTAAAAAAAAAAAAGACACATAAATATCTATGTCGCTGGCTTACAATATTATCTGGCCTACAATACAGGAGTCCTGGCTAAGCCGTAGGGATCCAGGGCGTTTGCTACTGGCTATATAACCTAAAAATATATTATTTGAAACACAACAGAAATGTACAGCTTCCCATTTTTGATCTCGAGGCTGATTTAAAGTACATGTATGCCAAGATTAAAAAAGAAATCTGCCTTGCTTAGTTCGGCGATGAACATAGTATAACCCTCACCTCCTGAATGAAATAGATTAATCTGTAGTATCAAATGATAACAGAGTGTCACAGAAAAAAAAGGATAAACGTTATCAAAAACAATTAGGCATGCTGGATATATAAGCATAGACTTATGATACCCCAGCGAACAGACAGTGCTTTATTAAACACTTTCCGAACAGGAGGAACGCCACCAGATACCCTTCAAAACTCACCTCTATTCTGCGCATCCCTCCTCGGCAGAAAGATGACAACCCAGACTCCCCACCTCCATTCCCCTTCCCTACTCTTCCCTACCCTACCTTCACCCCTTCCCCTATTCCTATCTTTAAAAAAACTTTTGGCATTTTTCGTAGCAAACAAAACCGTCTTATATCAAGAATCAGTTCCAAACGTAACGATAGTGGAAAATGTGCTGTGAATCATTTCAGTTTGGCATGCACTTTTTGCAAACTTCTATACCACAATTGAGAAGACGTTATTACAATATTGACAATAATTACCTAAGGATTATCGTATTCGTGGAATATTTTCATTTACGAACAAATAATTAGTCTCTCGCAAAATAAAAGTGATGTACAGTATAATCGATATGTCAATTGTCAAAAAAAGTACTTACTTGCACTGTACATAACATTCAAAATAAAGTCAAACAGTAATTAAAACTAATTTTGAGTCTATACAAGTGATATCGTGAATGTGGATCTTTGTCAATATCAATTTCATAGGAATTGATAATATAAATAAGATACTATAAAAGGCACCTGCTTTTAAACGTGGGGTATAGATATTGTTAGTTGTCTGACGTGCATGCATTATATTAAAATTCATGTATTAAAAGCTCATTTTATTGTATTCCGGTTGTACAGACGTTGAGGGTGGTCAATCGAACAATGGCCCTCCCAAAGGCCACCACAACGGGGGAGCCTCATTGGGAAGTTTGTAAGTAAGACTCTTCTAATTTAGAACAATCGATTAATTTTTCGCTCACATACTGGTGTTCATGGCCGAAAAGTCTCGGTACGACATATGGCAGAGATGATAGAGTATGTGCACATTTAAAGTACTATAGCAATCGGTAGATACGTACGTGATAATCTGACGTAAATATATTTGTTATTGGTATACTAAATGTGTGGTATCAACGTTACGCTTATAGCAATTGGTGTTAAAATGCCTTCGACACGAATTTTAGTTGCGTTATACTTTCTTTTACTTAAAATTGTGTAATAAATTGTCGATTAGTGGATTTGAGAGATTTGTCAGAAATCAGAAAATATTTTTTTTTCAGAATTTCTGATTTAATCGACATAACAGCTCGTGATGGTGATGACATCTTATGTGTAGATATTGGTTGCATTGTAGATTGTCGCACTTTTTTAATTTACATTATTTTAGGAAACAGATGATATTGAGTTTTTGTGGTACAGCAAATCACATATTTCTTGCGCGAAAAGTGGCGGTCTTAAATGATTTTATTTTATGAATACATACTTAAACGATGGATAATTTCGATTAATTAAGTAGGGTACAATATATTTCGTAAATATTGATGCCTCAAATCTACAAACTAATTATAATATGTTCTTCTGATACAAACAGACACACCTTATTGTTTATAATGCAACGCATTGTATACGATAAGCATCGTTCTCACTGTAAATAAAACTGACAAATAGAAAACATATATAACTACACTTAATACCACATTTCGTTCTCTTTGAGTTGTGTGAATATTAAATAACTTTTGATGTTACAATTAAATAGGAATTAACACCCCATTATCTTATGGGTTGCTGCTTTTCTTGACACATTAAAAAACGTCTTTAATAAATGCCGGATTAAAATATAAATCACATGTTACTGTACTTTTCATTAAATATCTACATGTATATAAATGCGTGTACTAAACGTATTATAGGAATATATATCGGCTTTGCCAGTTATTTCATTATTTTGACCAGCATATGTACAATATTACTTGCTGAATTGAAATATACAATATAATAATTACTTTAATTTGCTTATTGTAGACACTTCGGGAGTGTATTCGGGATTGCGATCGGCATTGGAATTTTCATGCGGTATTTTCCGCTTGGAGATAAAATACATCACACCTAAAGATGTCGAGAGGTAAATAGATAAACTCTGTCGAAACTTTGACACACGCCTTGATGATGTTATGCATAGATTATTGTGCGAGTGAGAAATAGGTCCACTGCATTTTCTCTTTCTGTAATCATACTTCAAATCGTAAAAAAAATTGAATTAAAATACATTTACCTACGAGGAACAGAACTCACCGGTGATATGTGCTCTTAAAATGTGTATATTCTGTGTCTCTAGCGTAACTTTCAAATGAAAACCTTAATTTTTTACTATTCTGGTATAATGAAATTCGGAGCCCATTCATGAAAAACATCCTCGTCATCATCCGAAGTATAAATTTATAACGTATATTTACAAGATTTTTAACGGTTCATACGCATATATTCACTCAATATACGTAAACCTAGTGGATTGATAATTTAATGTTTTACCTTAAATCATTGCCGTGGTATCTGTGCAATAACGGGACAGTCAGTCAGTTTGTAATTTGTGTACAAATAGCTCAACTTTTCATAAATAACTGTTGCAAACTTCTCGGAGAGCAACAGGAAAAGTCCGCCCCTTGGAGTTCAAGTTAAGTGATAGTACCTCCGGTTAACGAGTAAAATGATTATAGTTATAAAAAATGTGTAACCAATGAATATTAAATACATGTACGTCATTTTTTCACTTTCAGATACAACACATCATTACAGAGCTCAGAAGATATTCATCGTCTCCCGAATATCAGACTTGTTTGTTTACCATAAAACATACAGAAACGCAGGTCGTTTCTAAACTGACACTAATGCATATGCATTTTCCCAACTTTTTTGGTGTGTTTGTGATTTGGCAAAATATAACTTCTAGTTGATGTCTTTGATAGACTTTATATATAATTTGCTACTGAATATAATGAATTTAATTTAATAATAAGAGGTTGCACCTAATGTTAAATCAACCTGTGTATATTCCGTCTTTTCGTATTGGAGAGTTATCCGCTCTTGTGAGCAGGTATTGATTGTTACATCATTAGTTTGTGTGAGAAAATTCCGTCGTTTTCTATAAAAAAAAATGATGACGTTACTCTCACAAACAAATGACGTAACAATCAATAACGCTATCAAGAGCAGATAACTCTGCAATACGAAAAGACGGAATACTTTACAAGATATTATAGACAATAGCTATTTCCAGGTTCCAAAGCGGAAATATTTAATACTTAGAATGCTGCATTAATTTATATTTAGAAATAATGTCACTTCATTGAGGCTTAAAAAAGCTGATATCGAAACCAAATGAAGCTCTCTCTTCATTATACATTATAGATTGATTATTTATCGAAAATGTCAGGCACGATGAAGTACAATTTCAAAACAATATTTACACAATTTGATTGCAATTATGATATAATATACATGGGAAGGTAGAAAACCCTATACCGATTTAAGACTGACGTTTCCTTAAAACTATACGTAATAGCATAGCATCACATAGACAAAAGTGATATTGGTTAGGAGATATCCTTAACAGAAGTGTAACAAAATGTCTCTCATTTGACGGAAAGGCTAATCACCATATTGTTTCACGACGACGTAAGCATTATGAGTTTTAATGGATTTATCTCTGAAAACAATTTGTGAAAATTTGATATAAATCAATTGCATTGGATATAATTACAGTTTAATCGAAGGGTTATGTAAATATGGAAAGGAAAAAGAATCGAATAATTAACAATTAATTGAAGGAAGTACTTTATCATATTGATACAGCGTTATAACGCCGTTACAAAGATTACAGAAAAGGTCAGGTATTGATACACTTTAGACTAAAGTTATTTATGTTGCCATTGGGACAGACAGAAAACGAGAAAAAAGAACAATCAAACGGCGACTTTGAATAATTATGTTGTTTTCAAATATTGTTTTGTTATACGGAGAAGGAGTATTTGAGAATTTAAGGTCTACAACATATATTCCTAGAAAAATTCATCTAAAAAAATACCTTTTCTGCCGAACAATTGATAAGTTCATGACACAGCAATACTCAACAGACTGCGATGTATTATAGTTTTATTATATATTCACTCATTTGAACCAAGGTGTTTGCGTTGGTCTTTCTGCATTAATCTGCATTCACAATTGACTTTAGTCAGTTAAGATCAAGGGCCCTGTTGGCCTACAACTGGATAAAATACATTATCAAAAATTTGATAATATAAAACAACTGAATGGGTTTTGGATACATGAATGCAACTTTAAACATTTTTGAAAACAAACACATCTTAAATTTCAAAAGGATCTTTTTGCGGTTTTAAATGTCACAAGGTGATATGCAATACTCATTTAAAATGACTGATACAAATTACAAAACCCATCGGGAACCGTAACAAATATTTGCAAAGAAAACAGTAATGTTGGGTCTTATGTCACTTTTAGTACGCATCGGAAACAAAAGTGTACCTTTTATAACTTTTCCTGTTAAAAGGCAATTTAAAATATGTTTCTGTATGTTATCAAACTAATGGTACCATACTATCAGGTAAACTTTACGCTTATATATCTTTTTAAACGGTGATGATTAATTATTTTTCTGTACTGTAGCATGAATGCTGTCATTATATTTTATATTAAACGACATTGTATAACTTGTGTCGCCAGCTTTATAGATGTGTTTCATAAATAAAGAGTAATACGATGAAGCATAACCAAACGTTTTATATCTTCTTTCATTTACTGTTTGAATGAAGCGCAGTTCAGGACGCTTCAAAACACGCATGTTAACATGATTGACGTCCCAACTCAGTCTTTGTATCGCTCCTATTCTTTAAGTACAACATTTCATTATTGTATTGGCCAGTTATACGCATGTTAGTGTGTAACAATATGGCACATATACACAAAGACAAATACAGATATCAGCTTCCATCTGTTAATTTGCATGACCATGCATCGCCTGTCAAAGTACAATATGTTGCGACAAACGTAAACTATATCGATAATATTTCGACGCATTGAATACGCTGTATGTATGGTGTTCCGTTTAGATAATCGCTACATATTTAAGCTCACTTGTCGACAAAATAAAACCTACAGAAGAAACCATGTTTTGCTTCGCACACCTCTATAAGTGCAAATATATTATAACATCGGAAATCATGGATTCTTTCAATAGAACAAAGCATATTTAAGGGCATCAGGGGAAGAGTAAAGACAATAAAATGTTTTCATTAGTTTTTACAGAATGAACCCTGAAGGTTCTAAACATAAAGGAGGCCGGAAAATGGCATGATAGTTCGAATTATCTGGCGCTTTATAAGATAATGACAATAGGATCAGCCTAATAACTGAGGTCATAAAAAGTATTTGCAGTTGTGTTAAATTTATTCATCACCATCATCCGATAGTAATGTCAATATATAGTCAGATCTACTCAAAACAAACGAAGATAACTATTTTTGTTAAAGATGTTAGATTTACTAAATAACCCATAAAGATGAGATTGTTGATGTCAGCTAACGATGATTAAGTTGAGAGTTTACTGAATCAACTATTGCTATATAAACTGCAATCAAAATTTCCTTGTCTATGGTACATAAGTGTAAAAATAATATTCCTCCTGAATTAGGTAAAAATACAACTCATAATAGTGTGAAAATGTATATTTCAAATATGCTAGCTCTGGACATCTTCTACGTAATTGGGACGGAGAGAAAACAATTGTTATCTGAAATTCAACGCTGTATGTGCGATTAAACAATGTATAGATGCCACACCTACAGATTCGTGACAAGCTTACAATTACGCATTATATTGATGTTTTTCACTGCTTAGCAAAATGTTATTTAGCCACCCTGGAGATATAACACAATAAAACGAAGTGTCCTCTAAATAAATCCGTTTTTTACGCCAATGAAAATGCTAGCGCATTATGATTTGTTTGTTTGAAAAGCTGTGTCATTCAAATAGATCATAAATACCATACAAAAACAGTTCAATACTTATATTTACGTTTTCTCTGCCTCTTATGTTCTTTTTTAACTTATAATTTATATTTAAAATTAAAAATGCCCGCCTTATCGACAGTCCACACAATTTCGTTCAATAGTTTGAACAGCGTATTGTCGCGTGCTGATTGGCAAACAAAGTATTCCTTTGAAATTTTAGCAAACGCTTCAATTTTATTCCACAATTCAGTATCAATACAATTGCGTATGATATGTATATAGGGTGTTTTAAGTTTATCAATAGAACTCTGAGCTGAAAGTTGGATTTGAAATTGTTTCGATTTTTCCCCGGAACAAATTTCGCGCATGGACAAATACAGTGAACACCGTAAATCCGACCTTGCCCTCCACGAGGGAGTTATTTTTGGAAGTTAATTCGAAGAATCCAGCCAACCAACTTATTTGTTGATTGTATGGGAACATGCCAACAGTCGGTAGATTATATAACAGCCTCGTTATTTTACATGTCGTCAGAAACTGAGGAACCGTGGATGCGAGACGCGTGAAACTGATAGCGTTTGAAGTGAGTGATCTTGCGACGGAGCACAGGTTCGTTACAAATGTCTGAAATGGTTATGTGTGCTGTGACTCATATCGGTAGGTCTGTAACATATATGTCCGTAGGTCTATAGAATATGTGTATTTCAGACATTTGTAACGAACCCCTGTTGATCAGTGCAGTGTAACAGACGATATTTCTGATAAACTGCATGAGCGTTAAAATTGTTTCCATTGCCGGTATTGGTGATTTCAACCGATGTGCATTTTGTACGATATTGCAGACCTTGGTCTTGTTGTCGTTCTAATAAAAGTGGTTTTTTATTTTATTTTTTATTTTCCACATAAACTTACAATGACATTGTCAAATCTCACAATGCCCAGCGATATTTCATCAGCCGTCATATTTATTTATATTGGATATTGTAGTTCCGGTCAGTGTTGTATTAATACGCTAAGGATTGTGTCTCGTGATGCATGGTAATTAAAGATTAATTTTGTGCAGGGTTCAGAGACCAACTACTGGATCAGGGGCAAAGTTGTCAAATAAACACTAGAATAACGAATTAAGAAACACGAAAAAACACCTACTTGTATTTCTGAAATACGTCAGTAATCACCATATATAGTGAGCATTTAAATATCGGTAACAACTTAAAATCTCCTAAGAGCAAGTCTTTAACACTATTCCATTGCCATTTAATATATCTTTATATGCGTATTCGTTGTAATCTACATATAGCAATTGGTTTGAAGTATCGGATATCAAATCAACAGCAATCTAACTAAAAAATCTTCTAATGACGTCAATGCTTTAAATGTTCTAAATATAGCTTTAGTAACGGTTTTGGTATTATCAACATTATCAAACTTGTCAAAGTCACCAACAGTACACGTAATGATATATACCCAACCATATCACCTTGCTGCTCACGTCACGCATGAATAACTTACATTAAGGATAATAACAACACATCACAATGACCTACACCATTCATACCATTTAAACCACGTAATATATTTTAAGTATCAGCTGTGATATATTTTAAATATCAACTGGTAACTCAAAATAGACGGAGAGTTGTACAGGCATAGAAACACTGTCGATGAAATACATTGAGCTAACCCGAAAGAGAGTTCTTCATATATCATTGAACTGCGGTCTCCTTATCATGTATAACAATTGTCTCCTCATTAACATGTGCATACAAAATGCACAGAAGCAAAAGCTCATATTAAGTATGGCTTTGAGTATAAAAAAGTAATCAAACCTACAGTAATAACAATAAAAGATTACGATGTTACCAGCACAATGTCATAAAAATTAATTCCGATTGAATGTTTTAAATATTGTAGATTTTACTGAAATTTTCTAGAAAGGCTTAGCATTTCTTCAAACCTTTTCATTAAATGGATGATTCACTCAGGAAAGCCGGAGTTCCCGAAGAAAAGCCACCGACCTGCGACCAGTACTTGGCGATTTTCAAATAACATCATCAGGGCGACAATAAAACAATATTACAGCACAGG